GTAAATTTTCATGATTGATCAATTTCGAGATGATTTTGTTATGTCATGAAGACTTCATTTTTTATTCTTATTCTTTTCGCTCTAAGCAATTTTTTTTTTCATTTTTATTTTTCTTCCTTTCAATAAATAATTTATGAAATGATTCAATACAAGAATTTTGCTGTTTGTTTATAATTCCCACCTTCTTTCCTGTCCCCGATTTCGCCCCCAAAAATATGGCCACATATTTTACATAATTTTGCATATTGCATGCGATAAGACTAGCGATAAGAAATAAAACTGAAAGAACATAGGCACACGAATGTGTAACTTGAAAGTTACAGAGGGTTAAAACGTGAAAGAAATTACGACGGTATACGAGAAAGATATATACCAACCTAATGGCATAGGCAACAAGCTCGGCATGAAGGTGTTGTGGTCTCCATGGTGAATAATATTATAAATATCCTTGCCGAGCACATCATCCTTCGTGTAATTTATGTACTGCGTTATGTTATCAGTTACGTACTCCACTCGTCCCTCCGTATTTACAACAAATAAAAAGCCATCTAGCGCCTGAACAAAAATTTCAATAGACACGTTAAATTTTAGAACTAGCATCCTGTTGAACGTCAAACAAGAATGAAAAGTTGTTAAGTAAGAAAAACAATATCGATTAGATAAAAGGGTTCATGTGCAGGCAATGGTCATTTAATTGGCTGTTAAATTATGTCCTGTTATATGCGGCTCAGAAAAATCAGTGGTAACGAGTTTCGAAAAATGATCGAAGAACATTATCATATTTCACATTTAATCTCTCTTCCGTCACGAAAATTAACGCCCATAGAAATTTGCACCTCTCACGTTTAACTTCCAATTATCTCGAAGCGATTGAGAATTATTTTCAGCACAACGCCGTATAATTATTTTTAGATAATTTAGAAAAGAGACCTTTAAACGAAAAGGTAGTTCCATAAATATGTTCACTGTTATTTATTAAACGCAAACTGCTAGGCATGTGCAATTGATCTTGACGAAGTGTCCAATGAACTAGACCTTCGCAACGAGTGCTGCCCGCAAGTAGCTAAATAAGATCAAAAACGAACTGAAACGCTCCGAGTGTGTGTACATGTGTCAATGAACGAAAGCAACAAGAATAGAATAGATTGATGGGGTTCGATTTAAATTGACTTGTACCTCGAGTAAAATAGGACCAACTTGATCGGTGGACAGTATGTTAGGATTCGAAGAAGACACTTCCCCCTGTTGTACGGCATGACTATTCGAGCCTTCCTGTTGCCTAATGTGCCGAATCTGTAAAAAATAAATTGCCTCGTTACTAATATCCAAATCACGAGATCAATAAGCCGCGGAAACACTTCAACTCAATTCTCCGTACGACATATGTAGAAAAGGTATAGTAGTACTATTATACATACGAAGACTGAAAAGAAATTAGCCCGAGCAGAAGAGTATAAAGCATTTTTGTTGAATATTATATTATGTGGGAACTGTTTAAAGTAATCTTTGAAATACACCTATCCATTTGAATGTCGTAGCACATCGGCTTTCACGTCTTCTCACTCGCATATTTTATTCATTTAAGAGATAAATGGTACACGAAGATGAGAGAAAAAAAAGGTTTCATTTCAACCAAATATGCATATACTGAACTCTACTACGTCGTTACAGTTTCGCGTGAAAGATAACGTAACAGCATAACGCTGATTTCGCGTTACGTACACATGCAGTTAGCATTTCTACGATATTTAAATCAAAACTGCACTCTAACGTGTACCTGTAACGCACGGGAAAGAAAGCCTTCCAGAAGCAACATCAAATGAGTACATTTTATACGAAGACTCCAAAAGTACATTAATCGCTTTCTTAATAACGTGCTCGTTCTCGTCGATATATTATAAGTACAGTAGTAA